CCCTTTAAAAAAGGGTGCTCCCGCAGTTGACTCCAACCCCTCTCCCCCCCTCTCAGTCGCAGTAAACCGCTGTACGTAACACCCCTATAGCTTGCAGGAAAACGGAAACCCCACCTCCCCATAAACGATTCTATTCCACAAGATGTTCTATAAATCCCTGCTGCAATCGCCTTAACCCTAACTGCTCCTCGTTTTCCCTCATACCCCATGAATATATGGGCAATCAGCCACCACATACAATATTGCTCTTCTTACCCCCCTTGACACTCCACAACTTCCAAGGTTAAAACCCGAAACAGATCGAAAAATTTCCCCCCTAAGAAACCCTGAAACACTCCCTAACCACATAAAAAACCCTCTCCAATTTTTCACACAAAAAAAAAAAAAAAAAAAAAAAAAAAAAAAAAAAAAAAAAAAAGTTTCTTCTACACCACAACGCAAATAATTCACCTCTTTTGCCAAACCCACCTACTTAAAACCGATTTTGATGCTAAAATTCCCATGATAAATCTGTACACTAATTAGCAAACCCTCGGTCACAACTTGAGCTTACAAAAACCATCCCATATTTCCACCCAATTATACAGCAGGAATACATATACACACCCCCTGCACAATTTCCCTATGGAAACTTATCCACATCATCTGCCCCACCCTGATCCTTTCACATTTTTCAACTTCAACAACAAACGCAACATGTCCTCACACTATTAATTCTCTGCCACTCCACCATTTACGTATATCTACCATTACCTGACGCCCCCAGACTCCCTCTCCCCACCCTCCCAAAGGAACCACTGCTTTACATATTCAGCCTTTGGCCCCCAATCCAAGAAAACCTAAACCCCAAAGGAATCATTCACCGCTTGACCTGAGCAGACTGCAGACGTGTGACTACTGCCCTCTGCTGGCCATTGGAGGAGACATATTTTCACAACATGGCGCAGTCTGTGAGAAGACGTATGCACACGGTGTGCCTTGATTGGTGCGTGGTGCAATAACGCCTCAGTCTGCACAAGTGCTTTTACCGAAAATTATCCGTGACACCTGTGGTGTTGCGGATCAAGAACTGGATGGTGTGGCGCTAAATGGTGCCTGTCGTATTTTCGTCAAGTTGAGATCAGCGAGAGTGTATGAACGGCTGGTTGACAAGTACCAGGACAGGAGCGTGGACGTTAATTCGGCGATACGTGTTCGACTCGTCGACGTGTCTAGGAATTACACGTGGGTGAAAGTCCGAAATGTGCCATTTGAGGCGGACGAGACTGATCTGCGGAATGCATTTGAACGGTATGGACCTGTACACCTGACTATGGCCGGTAAATGGACGGATGGGGCGTATGCCAGCTTGCCGGATGGTACGTTCGCGATCTACGTGACGTTGAGGCATTCCATCCCGTCTTACGTCATACTGGACGCATTTAGGACGCAGGTAATGGTGTACTACGCTGGGCAGCAGAAGACGTGTAGGTTATGTGGTGCGTGTGATCGTATGGCGGCCCAGTGTGGGAGATGGCAGAGGAGACAGGACTTAGGTAGTGCGATGGTGAAAGAACCAGAACCGGAGGTGGTCATGCTGATGATCACCTGTACATAGAAGTGGAACTTCCTGGAGTGAGGAAGTGGAGCGCGACCTGCCACTGGTGGGTACCAGCCCATCACTGTCACAGTTAGTGGGAAATGAGGCATCTGCCTTGGAGAACGGGAAGACTGTGCAGATTGGTGACTTGCAGGTAGAGGAAGGCCTACTGGTGAACGTGAAGGACAAATCCTTTGAGAAGAAGGTTTCTGAGGATAACTTGCGTATGGTGAGGAGTACTGTTCAGATTGAAGATGAGCAACTTGGAAGATTGGCGAACATGGCAGATGACTCGCCAGGAGTGGTGGAAGTGATTGAGGTGAATGCTGACATTCACAGGGAGGCACCCAGTGAGTTAGAAATGGATGCAGAGAGTGTCAACCGTAAGAGGGCGGCGACGTATTCCGACTCGGATG